CACTTGAAATTAAGGAATATACTATATCGGCTTTTAAACCAGGGAACCTTACAGTTACAACTTTTCTTAAAAAAATCGCGCTATAAGAGTTACTTTTTTGACTTTTATTTAATTACTCCTTAAATAACAGTTATTTCAGATTTTTTTTTTTATAAATCCAAAATAACAATTATTTTTGAATTTTATCTAAATAATCTGCAAATAACAGTTATTTTTGTTGTTTAAATTAAATGCCTTAGATAATAGGCAGACTTTTATTTATAAGAGTCATAAATAGAAATCAATCAGTGACTTTTACTCTTAATAGTCATCTATATAAATTAGTCACCGACTTTTATTTTTCAAGTCATACGTATAAAATTCAGTATCATTTTTCGCAGTTATGAAGGCGTTTACTACGGCTTATACAAATGACTTTTATAAATATGATTTAAAAAAGACACGTCAGTGTCAGTCAAAAATACATAATTGTTATTTTAGATTTGTAAAATAAAAATCCAAGATAATTGTTATTTTTTTAATTTTTCATAAAAATTACAAATAAGAATTTATCTTCAAACTTGATTCTCGATGAAAAAAGAAATCGTTTGGTGTGTATCACTTAGTTGTAGAACATTTCCTTCATAGCGAATTTTTCAATGACAGCTCTGCGGATTTATCCATTTTATTTGCTATTATATGGCAAGTGGGCGTGGTTATTGTCGATTTGAAGAATTTTCATTGCCTTACTTGCTGAGAGAAATACATAAGTGTACCAAGTTTAGAGAAAATTGATTTTGCACTAATTTGCCAAGTTCTTACAAAAATTGTATTTTATGCTAAAATAATGGTTTTGGTGTCAATTTTAAAGAGTCTAGCTTTAAGAATTACTGTAATATAAAAGTGCTTTCGTTCTTCACAAATATCGTTATATGGAAAATAGGCAAGATTTCTGTCTAATCTATATATCGAGCCCTAACCGCCAAAATAACGTAAGCGACATTTTTTTCAAAATTTTCTTTTTGATGCAGAAATGTACCTAGATGCTCTAGGAATATTTCTGCATCAAAAAGAAAATTTTGAAAAAAATGTCGCTTACGTTATTTTGGCGGTTACGGCTCGATATATAGTACGCGAAGGAATTTTTTGTTCAGGATAAAAGATCTGTACCGTTCGCCCGATTTTTAAAAATGAGATGTCAAATTAAAGCGCTCGGTCTGTAGATGTGCAAACTGGTTTTAGGGTTTCGAAAAGAGTTGCCACCTTTTAAAAAATTAAATTCAAATTATTTAATAATCCGCACCGTTCGTTTTATTTTCAAAAATGAGGCGTCAAACTAAAAGCCTTGGACTGAAGATGTGCAATAAGGTTTTGCTTTTTAGAAAAGAGTAGCCATCTTTTAAAAAATTATATTCAAATTATTTAAAAAAATATATCAATTATTACAAACTAGGTATCAATCGAAATGGTTTTGAAAAGCTTTGTTTCTTAGCTGACCATAGGAGGGTTACCGCCTGTTAAAAAAATCATATTATGTAAGAAAAATATGTATCACCATATGGGTGACACACGAAAGGGGTTTCAAAAAGTAGTAGTTTGAAAATATCTTGAAGAGGGTTGCCACCTGTTTGAAATGTCGAATTTAGTTTACTTATTCACAAGTTATACGAAATATCAAAGTATGGATGTCAAACGAAGGAGTCTTAAGAAATCTTTAGTTTGAACGCTAAGAATATTTTTGAGGTGTTGGAGGAGGGTTGCCACCTGTTTAAAAAGTTAAGTTCAAATTATTTTATAAGTTAAATGAATTATTAAAATATGGATATTAATCGAAGGGGGTTTGAAAATTTTATTTCTGAACAGTATTTAGCGGGATTGCCACATGCTTCAAAATTAAAATTCCACTTAATTCATCAGTTAATTAAAAGATGAATCACAGTGTCCGGTGAAGGAGAGTTAACAATGATTAAGCTTCAGAAAACTTTTGAAGAATGGGGAGATAAGTTGTGTCAAGATATGTTGTCAAAATTTTACATAGTGAAAACCGAACCTCTCCACTTTGTACTCGTGCACCAGTGCGCTTTGTTATTAAAAGTACTTCGCAATCGAAGCTGGCTTGAAAAGCTCACAGATAAGCGATTTCTGAGCGAAACATTCACCTATTTTCAATGCCCGGAGGTGAGAGTGATATAACTGGCTGCTGGTTGAGGAATACGCAGCCAAAAGACATCTACATAAAAAAAGTTCGTTATGTTTACCAACACTATTTAGCGAAGACTTGCATTTCTAAGCTAATTTGGAGGTCTATACAATGCCGTGAGTACAGCTTAGCTGTCACTAGAGATAAATATACTACTACTTTTTCACACATTTTAAGTATGCAGCCTATGACTTGGAAGATTATAAATACGGCTGGAAATACTGAGGCTTATTCCCAAAGTGAGAAGATTATCCTAAGTAGTTACCCTCGATGTAACTGTAGAGGTCAGATTCTGATCCTGTGCAAATACTAGAACCAACGGTTAAGATTCTGTGAACCTGAGCTTTGTTTTGTGGTTAAGCGAGTGGTCAGCCTTAGGGAATTCAATATTGTAGTATCTCTTCAGCAAAGGTAATGGTGGCAAACTATCCTGAAGCATTTCTTTTAAGCCTACAAGTGACCTCAAGCAGCCCCATGTGTTGGATGTGTTGGATGGAAGCAAACAGCCGTTGTTATATGAAGTTTGTTAAGCAGATTCTTCCTGCTATTGCTTGAGAGTCTGCTCTACCACACCACAGATGTATTGCTAATGATTCGTCTACGTGACATTCCACACATCTAGTTAAAGACTAGTTTACATTATCAGAACGATGTCAACCTTTTGGATGCATTCTTTACAACGAGAAACTACCTTTAAAGTTTACAATTTGGAATTCTTCCTAAATACTTTACTTAGGAAGAAATTTGAATATTGACTCCTTTAGGGAGGGGCACAAGGCCGTTCTGTACTCTCCTTATAGTGAAATGCACAACCCAAGTTTTGGTTGGGTTGGCGGACAGCCTATTCTCAACGCTAAACATGCTCATGTTCTTTGCGCCTTCCTGCAAACAGCTGAGAGCGAATAGCTTGTAATGAAGCAGGCAACAACGTCTACACAGGTCTGGGCTATAGTTAATAGTGCCTTAAAGGTTGACAAAAAGGGAATAAATTACTCTTAAACTTTAATTGGACTTTTAATTTTATTTTTTATTTGGAACCAAGAAAAAAGGGTTCCAAAAAGAAATTACGATAGCACCTAAGTAGCCGATATGAACAATAAATCTCAAACTATTGATCTCGATGTGGATACCCTGCATCGAAAATGTCAGCCTTCGACAAGTCCCCAAGGAATCGGTCTAGAAATAGTCGAAAAGTACAGTTTGGCAGTGACAGGGTGGTGTTGTCTTGCAATTTAATGAAAAAAAAATATTAAAGAACTCCACCCTGTAAATGTCCCAATCGCTTGGTCTGGCCTTGATGCAAAGTGAACATTTGAACACACATTTACATGCGTGGCAGTAGCTCAGTGCGCAGAGATGCTTGCCACTATTTGTTAGCTTTCAGGAGGGTCCTGGTTCAGAGGCAACACGGTTATAAAATGATAATTTTTTTTTTGTGTTTCCGATTTATGAAAAAGCATCTGTGAAGTGCAGAACGATATCTTACTCCAACGAAAAAAATCTTCAAAATTGGACTAGTCCAGGATTATCTTACGGTCAGTGTTGATTGGACCGGTCCTTTTCCAATGACACGCACACGGCAATGCTAAAAACGGCAGTTGAAACCATTGGCAGGAACTAGTGCTGGTAACAATAGGGACTATCTTAGGGCTAACCAAGGGGGAGTCTGAATTGCTGCAGGGTAGCTAATATGGTACGTATGTATGTATGCATGTACATATGGTATATGCTGTAATTATTATTCAAACACTTTACACAATTTGTTCTTATAACTAAAAAAAACTACAAAAGGAAATTATAAAGGTGAACCAAGTGCTCGGATTTTTATATTTAATAGCCAGTTTCATAACAGCAATTTAAGTGAAAAATGCTTTTTTTATTTAAATTTTATATGAAAACTGACAGAAGGCAAACATTTATTTTTCACCTAAATTTCTGAAAACATGTCGCTGCAGTGTTAATACATCGAAGTATGATTTAGCAATACTTCTACTGTATGAACATCTCTAATGCTATAGGCGCTTCCGTAAATACATTGGCCCGTAGTTATTGACAAATGAAAAGCAAGTTTTTATGATAAAAATGAATGAAGTTAACGTGTTATATTAAAGTTAATTTTGGCAAAATATTTTGAAAATTAAATCAAATAAACTGCTTTTATGATGTTAAATATGCTTTAGTTCATAGTGTTCATTTAAAAGTTAATACTACATTCGTACACATCCGGCATATGGATATTTATGGTTAGTTAATATTTAACATTTTCGTTTCATCTTTAATGAGTCTGTACATATCATACATTCTTATTTTAAGAAAAAAATTGATTTCAGTACTTGTACCTTTCACAGACATACTTTGTCATAATTTATGATGGGCCCAAAGCCGAATTTGAATAAAAC